ACAAATTCATTCACCCTAGTTTCTTCTTGCTAATTTAAATATTAACGTTACAGCTGTACCTTGAAATTATTACTAAGAAACAGGTTTAGTTTGTTTGGGTCGACGCGAAACGACTCGATTGAAGTCAGCAAAATCCTGTTAAAAATGAACCGGAAAATGTTATATTTTGATATAATTTTTTCGTTAGTCGTGAGATTCTAAATGCGACAGTTGTGCTATTAGAAAATTTTAATATTCTTGTTAGCATTTGTAAACTCTAGTTTTTGACCATGACAGCATGCTAGCAGTTAAAGTTTTGCGCGCGATGTTGGCACAAGAGCCGGAAGAGACACTTTAAATAAAACATAGAATATAAAAAAGAACAATATTTTTTTATGTGTACAAACAGTCGAATTACCCGATGATAAGTATTCGGCAGCCCCCAAGGATAATGATACCAAAGTAGTAATCACAAGTGCGTTGGCGGCCTTGTGTGGATTATTAGGGATTTGGAGATTAAGGACGGGATGAAGAGAAGGGGGAAGAATTGGTCGTCCAATAGTCATTTAAATTTTCTCGTATGAATAACTGGTTTGTAACTTTTCAAGAATTATGGGCGAAAATTGTAGTGCGTATAGCCTAATTTTAGAAAAGTTTCATGAAACTTAAATGCCTGCTATTCCATTAGAAGGTAAATGGTCATATGATATAAACCTCTAGCTTTAGGTATACCTTGACTCAAATAAAATCGTGCTAAGATTTTTCACAAAATACCGTTCGCCGGAAACGTTTTTGTATTCATCCCTTGACACGATCCTTTAATAAGTAGTTGCAGATTCTTTTTCATCCAATATCCTGAAATGTTAAGTTGAGTGCTGAGCAATGTCGATCCGTGTAAAGGTTTACTTAATCTTTTATGAAACATACTTCCATGTTTAGAAATAGCGTCGAGTACAAAACTTATATACATATTTTATATTACCCTTAACTGTTGCCAGTTTATATACTTACTCGAAAATGAAATCCACGGTAACACGTGTCTTGTAGTTGGAAAAGGCAGACACTTGAGTAACTACACACGTAGTTTATATATTTATTCGGATTCTTGTTTGGACAGATGAAAAACCGAACGACTCCAACTGAAAAAAAGCCTCCTTGTGCCTTCTCCCATTTCGAACCGCGCCGTAGTACATAATTGGCCTTACCCGCAACCCTGGTGAATATGGCATGTTTATCAAGGCCTTTCATTAGAAATATGATAAACTGTAAACTACACAAAAAGTAATTTAGACTCACCGTATACACTTAATAAATGTTTAAAGCATATAACACTCATTATAATCTACATAATTACAATACAATTACTAGTCCGTCTGCCAACTAATGACGGTACAATGATTAGTTACTCTTGTTCCCTAACTTGACCTCTTGTAATTACAATATCACATACATTATTTAAAATGGCTGGCTTAATTTACCAGTACATAAGTAACATAGTTTTATTTTTCAAGCTGCTGAATTGATATTTAAGTGTAAATAAAAAAAACTACGTTTAAAAAAACCGACTTCAAAAACAAAAAAGTGTCAAATAAGTAATTAAAATTGATATTTTAATAGCACTCTTACGTACGCGAAGCTAATACTTTTAATATTAATAATAAAACACTATCAATTCTATGTGCTACCTATTCATAGGTTTGAAGTCGGTGCCAAGCCTAATACATAATATAATAAGCATGATTACATGGGTACCTAAACTCGCCGGGCGCGTTTGAATTTATTTGTTAGGATTTAAGAAATTTAGTACCGATTTTCTAACTGTATGGCGTTAGCGTAGAATCAGAAGTCTATGTGGTTTTGTTACCGGCGAAACTGTATATAGCTTAGAAAGATATTTGGATGAATTATGAATTCTGAAAGTTTTCTCGTACTTGGTTGTTAAAAGTGCTGCGTTGTTAGTTGTGAAAATTTCGTCTTTTAGCAGTTAAACAGTCTTAATTCTCATTTAGTTTTATTTTGTTTAGGGCTTGGCACCGACTTCAAACCTATGAATAGGTAGCACATAGAATTGATAGTGTTTTATTATTAATATTAAAAGTATTAGCTTCGCGTACGTAAGAGTGCTATTAAAATATCAATTTTAATTACTTATTTGACACTTTTTTGTTTTTGAAGTCGGTTTTTTTAAACGTAGTTTTTTTTATTTCTTTCTTTTTAGTGTCTGTTGCAAGTTCTTCTGTAAACTACAGTAATATTTTAAATATAAATTAACATATTGAATAGTATATATTTTTAAGAAGCTATGTGTAGGCCAACGAAAGGAGCCGCCCGGTTAAAAAATATAGATCCCAAGAAATGGGAAAGTTCTCATCATCATCATCATCATCATCAGCCATTTTAATGTTCCCACTACTGGGACACAGGCTATCTCTCTAGGAGAGGGAAAGTTCTTAACAATATAAATAAATTAAGTCCAAACACGAGGTAGCCACTGTAAACCGTTGAGGAGTTCCCTAGACTGTCGTTCGTCTTCATCATCAGATCCCTAATGACAGTCACAATCCATCAAGGTGTAAAGTTGAAGTTGCTATGAATCGTTGAGGAGTTCTCTCGACTGTCTCTCGTTTCCATCCGGAATTCCCTCGACGGTTAATTGTCTCCATCATCAGGTAAACTGCAGACCTTCAGTTGTTATGATACATACCTACAGGTACAAAGTTTTTATCAATATAAATGAATTAAGTTCAAACACGAAGTAGTTACTGTAAACCGTTCAGGAGTTCCCTGAGCTGTCCTTCGTTCTCATCATCAGACCCTTAATGACAGTTACGACCAAGCCTGCTGCAAAGTGCTCGCCAATACGAATCATTCAAGCCCAAACACAAGGCAATTACTCCAAATAGTCAAGGAGATCCCTCGACTGTCTTCCAGCTCCAACATCTGGTCGACTTCGACCTTCGTCAAGTTGTAGTGTTGTTAAAGGCCTACTTAAACATCATACAAAAAACCTACTCGCCCCTACAATTTTCGAAAGTTCCCCTCGGTTTCTCCAGGATTTCATCATCAGATCCTGACCTCATGACAATGGGACCAAATGGCAAGTATACCCTATCGAATAAAAAAAGAATTTTGCAAATCGGTCCAGGCGTCTTTGAGTAATCGGTGTACATACATAAAAAAAAAAAAAAATACGCGTCGAATTGAGAACCTCCTCCTTTTTTTGAAGTCGGTTAATTACGTTATTACTATTTAATTTCGACGCCCGACATGAAATAAATATTGAAATTGATTTATTATCATTTTAAGGATTATTTTACATGTAAAAACACTGGACTGTTACTTGCAAATATATATAATAAGTTTTTTCAAGCTTGGAAAACTTAAGCGTGTTTTTAGCGAATGGTTCACGCGATCAATGTAGCACTCAATCGAGAGTTTCAATCTCCATATTGAGGATAACTATTTGCAAATTCCTTTTTGGTACTGAAGGTCCCTAACCCATTGTGTTATACGACCTATCACGTCACTGCATGCCTGAGAATGGCCTGGCTCGTAAAAGGATGCCCAACCTCTTGACGCAGTTTATGACATTCGCAAACTGAAATGAATGACCTTGAGAGGGTAAACTTGAATTTTCTAAGCTTGAGCTTATGTTTTTTAGCTGTATCGAAAGTTGTGTAGTGTAATCATTCACTACAAATATTTTTGTATTGATTCTTGCATTACTTTTTTATTAGCTGTTGTTCATGAGCATTGCTCATCAATTACCAGGTCCAGATATATTGCTGAATCTCAATTTCTTTTTTATATGATAGATCGGCAAACGAGCAGACGGATAACCTGATGGACCACTGACAACCTGGGCAACAACAGAGAAGTTAGGAGTGCGTGGCCGACCTTTTGGGAATTAGGGATTTGGAGATTTAGGGATTGCGCCTCCGGTAACCTCACTCACACGGCAAAACACAACGTTGTGGTTGTTTCACGCTGGTTTTCTGTGAGGCCGTGGTATCACTCCAATCGACCCGACCCATTCGTGCTGAAGCATGGTTCCCCATTCTAAGTTACTTACTATTATTGCTTAAACTAAATCTTTGATATCAGCTACTGAACCAATTTAAAAATTAATCTGAAACCAGATTATGATCTCGAAAACATATTGATATGCAATCGCAGAAACTCACACACTAGTAATTTACTTTTTAAAATCACCCAACATTGCCACGAGTTCATAGATTACGTAACGCACAGAGAAATGACTCAGCGCAATTCTGGAATATGTGGGACGCAAATTGTAACCCAACTATTCTTTTTACATACAGGCTAACAAAAAGTGTTCGCATACTTTTACACCGAAATCAGGACGTGCCTCTACTCAAAATGCTGCTGTAAACTTTACAAATACCCAACGCGAAGTTCAGCTTAGTTCGTGGTTAAATATTTTAAAGCCACGAAAGCCAAGGCTCATTTAATTTCATTTCGGGTATAACGAATACGGTTTTCTTTAGGAATTTTACTCTGAAGAACTGGTGAATACTTTTAAGCTAGTTATTTTTAAGTAAGAGTTATATTATTTCTGAAATGTAGATTTTTAGTTTATAGATAGTATCACCTTAATGGAATTGTGTAATGCCAGTTTTCCTAGCTTAGTCGGGTAAATAGCGACTATTCCACTTTGATTTTCTGTAGAAAAATGTCCGCACTAAAGTATCTCGAACAAACATAAAACAGAACATGGCTCATTATAATTTTATACCCGAATACTCATGGAAATGCTGCAACTTTAGTGTGAAAGGAAAGAAAAACCTATACAACTATTTATTTAACGACCCGGAAAAGTTTGTTTATACATATAAACATCAAATATTAATAAAAATTTATCTCGTGCTATATTAAATAACTTACAATTCCACCGACAAGTTTCGATGATATACTGATAGGGACCTATTTCAGACATCATTACAAGAAATACCATAGACATAGTTGGCCAACTGTGTTAAGTTTAGTTTGTATTGTTCCAGGTTCCAAGGCTTCGTTGGAACGCTGTTGTATAGCCATATAATGGACTATACAGTCTTTGTTATTGTCTTCGTAGTGTGCATCAGTAAGTAAAACCTAAAGCCATTACAATATAAATATGATAAAGAAAATAATCGGTCCATATTTTTTTCCCAGAAATCTGCGACGGTAGACTATTAATTTATTACCTAACAATATAAGACAATATTTTTTCACTATACTCATGAAATTCAATGAAACACGATCGAAGAATATCTCGCAATAAGTTTCTTTGAATCACAATCACGTAAACCCACTCAATAACACTAAGATTTATTATTTACTATAACACCGACGAACAAAGAAAAAAAAAGAAAATCGGAAAATATATCAGTGCTCCCGGGCAAAACATCAATCGAAATTTCTATCAATACAATAAAAACGAGATCATTCCGAACCAACCTTTGAGAGGTTCCTATTCATCCCAAAATTACTATCAGAGTAGAGATATACCTTTAATTTATTTCCCACAGATCAAGGCGATGGACATTGGAAAGAAAGAGACAAAGAAAAGCTTCGGCATGATATTGAAATGTACAAAACGATGGCAGGTAAGATATAAAATACGGTTAAATAAATAAGAAAACTCGGTCTAACATGACACTAATGAGAATGCTTCCTGTACCAAGCTCTTGTTAGAAAAGAAAATTCTTAGAGAATATGTTTAAGAGAGTGGTACTTGTGTTCGATTTCGGTTCTAAAATTACTATCTACTAGTTTTAGTAAATTCGAACAAGAAATCTAATTAAACGTACACGAAACCCAGAAATAGATAATAGTTTTATCTAAGACTGTCATAAATTTGAAAGGTCTTTCGATTTCTGATGACTTATAAATGCGATCACAATTTTGAGGAGATCCCAAACTAACTACAAAAAAGAGAAACAATTTAGAAAATGTATGTTAAATGTTTATAATTTATGTCACTTAAAACAAAATATCAGAGGTACTTCCAAAATATTGTGGCTTAAACGAAGAAAGAAGTTGTAAATATAGAGAATCAATTTCATTTCAAAAGTTTATCTTGATTTCACAATACAAACTTCTAACAAATATTTTTTCATAAAAAATCTGTTTTGTGATAAAGAAAATGTTGCCTTTAAAATATAGTACATTTTTAAATAGAACTGACATCGTCAACTCCCTACTCATTTCGCTAAAATATCTCCTTAATTCATGGCAGGAGCATCAACAAAACAAAACTGTTTATAAACGATGTCATGAAAATTTGTTCCTTTTAAACTTTACCCCTTTCCCTAACAAACGCTTACAAAAAGTGTGTCTGACATATTTCAATTTCCTTTGCAGAAAAAATTGAGCGCGAGATAGAAAGCTTTTACGATGAATATCCAGAGGAACGATACAAGGGGGATAATGTTGATAGAATACACTACAAACATGTAACAAATATACTGGATCGTAAAAAAGAAACGGGGAATGATGAACATAGCGATAAAATAGAAAAGAATTTTTTGTATGCCAACTCTAGCCATATTACAAAAGACGTGCCCTCTAAACATTCCATCAATGTACATAACCCTGTTAAATATGAAGCTTTAAACAATAATAAACTTAAGTCTAGTTCTATAAATCCACAATGGCCTAAATTTGATGATATACTCTTAGCTATGGGCAGAAAATACGACTGGAAGAACGACAGATGGATAAAAGTAAAAGGAAAATTAAAGTTGGACCCCAAGGAAGATATCATGAATACAAGAGGAGATAATAATAGCATTGAATACCATGAAAAACACAAGTTCAGCTATAGAATCGTGAAACTAAAAAGTAAGAGCAGAAGAAACGTCGTGGTCGCAGTATCGGCTGTGAGATAGTGCGTAATGAAACAGTAAAATAAGCCAAAGAACTGTAAAGGGACATATTTTTTGTAGATAAAAACGGGACCAACAAGGGTGGCGCCGCCGATTCGATCGTTTCATGAAGACATCTAGGCTAGAACGTTGCGTCGATGTGTAAGCCACGAGTAATGACTGCAGCTGAGTGAACATTTAATTGTGTTAATAATATAAAGGCGCTTCATTGTTTCCTCATACGCCCGAAAAATGTATAGTTATCGCCTATAGATATCTTAACAAATATGCATGTAATTAACTCTCAAATTGTTGTCTGTTATCGCATTAGTAGAGCTCTGAATACTTTCTGTTTTCGCCATATAAAAAGCTAGATGTGTAACTTTGAACTGGTAAAGTTAAACGGGTCTCCGAAATATCAATATATGAACGAACGTTAAAATAAACTTCTCCAGTAAAACTTTTGTTTTATTATCCTAATGTATAGTAGTATTTAGAAAAGTTTTTGTTGATCCCTTGTGAGCAGTTCTTATTGATTTCAACAGCCATTTGAATACGAACCAAAACAAAAAGAAACTTGCAATCAGGTCATACATTTCCACAAAGATGTTTATCACGGGCATTCTATCTAGACCAATGGGTTCGACAAATCGCAGCAATTTTATTTTAAAAAGGATCCTTATTTTAGAATAAAGTAGTGTAAGCTGTGATCTGCGAGGATTGAGAAGAGAGAGTAGCAAGCTGTAATTTTTCATTCTCAAGCGTCGGTTGGCAGGAGTATGAACAAGTTCCCAGATAATTTGTCGCGACCATATTGTGTTTTCCCACGTCGACATATGCATGCGAGATATGACTGTCATTTGTTACAAGTGAGGTAAAAAGTTTACGAAAATAAATGACCTCATTCTTTTCTGCGACAAGAGTATTTTTAAAGTAGTCTTGTAACAATGTTTCCGAAAGAACGATTCTTGAGATTTAGAGCGAATTACTGCCATCACAATGTAAAGCTAACCTCAATATGGCTGTTTGTAAACTGGTATACATTCTTTAATCCTCATTTACATAATAAATCTTAAATTCAAATTTTATATTAAGGTGGTTGGGACGGAACATTACGTCGCCACCGCGCCGTGGCATTTTGCAAAGTGTGCTTACAGATGATAAATTATCATTATGCCTAACTGACATCATGATCGATTGAGTCGTTAAGCTAAGGTTGACGATGTTTTGTTTGAATTTTAACAATGAAAATATATTAAATTCGTTGAATTTGTAAGCACCAAACTGACGAACATTACAAAAAGTAAATTTAAGTAGCTGGTAAGAGAAAGTAACAAAATGGATTTAAATTAATAAAGGCTCTCTCAGTTGTCACAATGCAATATTAAATGACAACAAATCTTATATTTTTTTGTTATTTGTCCTTGAGTTACAGTGGACAAACAATTTTAATTAATTCAATAACAAAGAAATGTTGTCTCTTTGTTTTTCCTTTTGTGGTTTACATTTTATCTGTGATTTTTCATCTTCATTTTCTGGGTGACCCAAAATGTTTTCTTATCTTGTAAGTCGTTTCGCTATCTTTCTATAGAACTTCTTTCACAGAATTCAGGGCTAAAAGAGTTTTGAAGGGAGGGTGCAAAATATTCTAATACTCTACGTACAATACACCATAATTGAAGTTGCAGAAGTGCCTTGTATATTTTTAACAGAAAAACAGCAGTTGGCGAGCTTCGACGGAAATGTTGGTAATATATTTTTTGGTATGGGTTAAGTCGGCGATTGACCAAATCCTACCCCATACAAACCCCGTACTCCAAAGGAGTTACGAGTGCGTTGCCGGATTGGGGTGATGGTGATGAATTAGGCCCTAGGTAACCTCACTCACATGGCGAAACACAAATTTTGTGGTTGTTTCACGCCAGTTTTCAGTGAAGTCGTGATATCACTACGGTCGAGCCGACGCCATACGCGCCGAAGCTTGGCTCTCCCACACTTTTATATATCTGGATATACGTCGTATGATTAAAGAAATGAACACAAAATACTGAATTAAGGTTTCACTAAATATCTTTACATATTACATTAAATACAAGAAATGGCTGTTTTTATATTATTTCAATAAACCATTCAAAATGCTGGAAAATGTGAACATTATATGGAGTGTATCTATTAGCGTGTGTCGTAATTAGTCTGTGGGTCATCATCATTAACGTTTGTTTTTGTATAAAAGAAATACTCATTATATTATTATTTCTTTTTTGGTGAATATACTCGCAGGTTTGTAGTTACCGTTATTTTTTGTTGACCTTTCCTGCTTCGAATATGTTTGGGAGTGGTTCGGCGATATAATGATAGATTTTATGTTATTTATTTTTGTTAAGGTCTATTATTTACTGATACTAATACTTCTTTTATTTAACTTGGATTGTATGTATACATATTTATGTAGTGAAATAGTGCTACGACTTTTTGAAGCAGATAATATTATTATGTTCAACTTATTGTTGTTTGAGTTGTTTTTTTTATAAAAAAGTCGATTTGGGCATCAGGTATATGATGATTGAGAATTTCAGGATTTGGACTGGTGAAGAAGCATGAAGTCTTCGGTAAATGCACTCACACTGCAAAAGCGTTAGTTTCACCTCACATTTTTGTATGGTCCTGGTTTCACTCCGTTCGAGTCGACTCGAATTATTAATTCTGTCTTGTGTTGGATATTAACATGATAGAAAGTCGCAGATTTAAAGTTTCAGACTTAGTATTTAGGGTTTATGTGTAAGAGTAGGCATTTACATAAAGTCACTAATTGATAGACACAGAACACAAGCAATTATGAAAAATTTTATGCGGTATTTTGATTTTCTTACAAGTATGATGTAAATGTTAAAGTTAGTACACTTTTTGTTTCTCTCACGTCGCGACAGAGCTTTTTCATGCTATTTATGATATCTAGGAGTTACTTGTCCACATCTATTTTTTTCCTCGCATTACGAGAGCAAAACCTCAGACGGTAACCTAGTAAGTTACAAAACGGCGGCGTTGGATACTATTTAGTAAACTTTTCTAGGTAAGTACCTAGTAGTAAGTGAATAGTTTCAGTAAATAATAACTCATATAAGAAAACCATATCATTTTTAATAAAAGAGAATACATCACATTACTTTACACTCAAAAGCAAAACCACACCGTCTCATATATTATAATCGAGCTCCTAAAACAAAATAATTTCGTGTCAAAACCACCCACCATTCACTTACCAACCAATTTCACCCGTCTTATACGGAAAGCCTTTGAAATGATTTGTAATTATTCGTGCCGGCCAAACATACCGTGTAAAGAAAGCTCTCGGAAAGGTCGGAGGGCTCTTTAGGTCGACGGTCGTAAGACTGATCTCTCGGCAAACTCTAGCACCTTTAGCAAACAACGCTATTTGCTTTACTTCGTCCACGGAGACCCGGACAAACATCAATATTCCCGTCACTAGGCCGGCAAACTGAGAGAAAAAAAAAACAAGTTTCAATACCTTCTTTGAACGATTTATGAAATACTAATTGGGTTCAAAAAAGGGTTGAATTTTCTAACGACTTGTCCTTTTTTTCGATATCAAACTTGTAAGAATAAATTCTGATCGCGTTATGAAAGGCCAGTGACGGAAATGGGATTTTCTAATACCTGGTCCCAATAAACGTGATTCTATTGTGTCTTTATGTAGGTTTTATTCGTTTCTGTTTGGGCTGCCTGGTACGGGAAAAGTCTTTAAATTTCTAATGTTTACTCCGAAAATATTATTTCTTCTTAATTACAATTTATTTGTCGTCATAAAAAATAGAATATAACTATTTGTCCAATTGATGCACACGAATACGCATAAATTAATGTATAAAATTATTTGGAAACATACAAATAATAAGATTTAACATATAAAATATACTAGCCACTCGTCCTAGTTCCAGGTCCGGATCCAATAAGTACTGATACTAAATTTCTCCCCTAAACTAATCGATGTTATTATAACACATTTATACAACTATGCTATCCTTCAATGGCTGTCAATTCACAAAAACCCCATTAAAATCAATTGCGTTGTTTTAAAGGACAGAGAAAAGGACTTTATTTAGGAATTATGTAGTGACTGCACGACAAAATTCGAATATTTTACAATTTTTAACAATAATACTTACAATATAAACATTACAATTGTTTTGTCAAGTGCATGTGTTACGCATATACGCAACAAAACTCACAGATTAGGTCGTCACAAAAAACAAAAGATGAACGTGATCTCGTTGAGGTACGTGACTGGAATGGTCTATAGGAAAAATGTGAGTTTTATGATTTTTATACGAGTAGTACCTAAACCCTTTTTTTGAACGAATGAATAACCTGCCACGGACTCGGTAAAGTGATTTTAATACTGTAGAAAAATTTTGCTATTTGTTATCACTATTTTCCTTCATTTTTTACAAGCAAATTACCTACACTATTCGTATTTATTATATAATACAGTTAGTTTACATTCACTCTTCAATAATTGATTTAAATGAAATAAGGATTGTGGATCATCAGACATCATTACATCGATGACGTCTTACGGAAAGAGTTTGATATGAAAGTTTTTATAAATCATTCAATTTTTATAAATTAACAAACACGTGTTTAATATCGAGAAAAGGTCTACTAGTTTCGAACCACAGAGGGGTTCTTCCTCATCAGCAGCGTGCGCGATATTATACACGTGAGTAACCCGCGATTTTTAGTTAATTTAGTATGTCTCACGATAGTTATTATAAAATCAATTTTTATAATTTGTTACCCAATGATTGAATCACATTGAATCCTATAATGAATTTTTACAAGCCATAGTAGCCATTAGTCGTAAATTGTGCACGCTGTGTGTCCTTTGTAATTACTTTATAATAGATCGGTAACTAAACACACGGATTACCTGATGGTAGGAGATCTACTCCTCTCATGCACACTGCCCCTTGTGTCCATGGGCATTATAAAATGGATCGCCAAATGTATTGGTAAGCGCATATCTCAACAACGCCTGGACCAATTTTGCTAATTCTTTTTTTTTGTGTTTGTTATTGGCATAAAACTATTAGAAAAGTAGAGGGGAAGATTAGTAAAAAGTGACACTTTGATAGCGAGATAGTTGGACCTGTGTGAAGCGGGGGCGAAACGCTAGTAATAAATAAAAAAAAGGTACTGTAATCTATTAACCACATTTATGGCGAAGTGCA